GTGTTGACCAAGCCTTCTTCTTGAATTAGCCCATTATTCCACGGCCCAAGCAGTTTTCCAGCTCTCGGACAGGTCCTATAGGACCTTGCCACTCCTGGTCCTATAGGACTGCTGCAGGACCGGGCCCAAAAATGCTCAAAAACCTGCAAAAACAGGGGATTAACAATAGATATACAATATAACTACTAATATATGAAAAAGATATAAAAAGACTCAATTAGGACACTAATGGGCAAATAAAACAACGGAAAATGGTTAAGAAAATGATGTAATAAGGTTAATAAATTAACACTTATCAGTCTTTCTTTTTGGTCAGTTTGGTTTTCTTTGTGTTCTGCATCTTGCATACCCTTGTTTGAACTATGTTTCTTGCCGAACATTCTTTGCATCTCGTATCATATCTGCAATATCATTACGAGCTTTTCACACCTCATGGTATGACTCTCGAATGCTAACATGACTAAAACTTGTCTCGTCATCTAATTCTACAGAGCACGTGCTTTAAATGTTAACTCGATTCAACCTTGACATCTTTCACCATCTTTAGCCTCTCAATCTCCCCGTTAGTGGGATTCACCGCCTCATCATCAATCGGCCCGGTTTTGAAGTTAGTCGTGAATTTACAAGTAGGGTTGCTTCTGTTAATCCATTTAAATAAATGAGAAATAGATAACAACAATTTAGTATCGTGCCAAAAGTTAGTTCAAATCACATTAAAGTAGCACTTGCTACGCAACATGAGTATATTGAATTGGACAGTACAAGTTATTTGTGTAGTGTTTGGTATGACTAGGACAATGTTGAACAAGTTGTTTGTATAATGTTTAGTAAGTTAGATATCACTGTACAAAATTTGCTATAATTACTATATTGCACTTAAATCTCGTTTTATTTTTTTATAAACGTATCTTGGTGTGTATACACACACACACACACCATGAATTAAGTAAGAATAAGCATTTTGATATATTTGATTGTAATTTGAATGAACCCAGTTCATATAAAGGAAAAAAACTACATTTCTTCTGGTTTAGATGATCGTTATAATTGGTGGCAATGGTGGAGGTTTGTAGTGGAGATGGTGGTGGCAAGAGGAGGTTGTGTAGGTTGAGGTGAACACAGTGGTTGAAGAAGAGGTGGAGATGGTTGGGACGGTGGCATGCCATGTTGGACATGGAGGCGAATGACGGTGAGGTGGAGGTGGGTAGGGGCTGATCATGGACAAGGGTAACCATTAAACCAAATACCAAAATAGGGGGTGTTTAAGATTGCTTATAAAAACAATTTATTGACTTATTCCGGTGTTGAACTGGTAATATGTATATTTGAGTGTTTGGATAAACAACTTATACCGGTGCCAAACCGTTGATAAAGAGTTTTTGAAAAAGTTAAACCCTTATGACTTATAATAAATTAATAAGTGTTTTTGTAAAAAAAACATAAGTTGTTTCAAACAAACAATCCCAAACACCCCCTTAATGTTATATCAAATAAATGTAGCTTAATAACTTTTTAATTTTGTTCTACCTTTTTAAGACTTATGATCACAGACCAACCTGTTTTCGTGAGACTTGTGAGTCCATTTTTTTACACTTGAAACTTTACAGCAAAACGCTGTGAAGGTAACTTTCACAGTGTTTTTGTTATGAATGTTAGGGTTCTTTTTACTATCACAACATTTTGCTGTGAAGTTCAAATGGAAAAAAGTGATCTCATAATCTCACGAAAACAAGTTAGTCTCACATGAACCCAACCCAAATTTTTTTATGTGTTCAAATATTGGTAAAAAAATCTATAATGTTTTTAGGGGGTGTTTGGGTAAGCTTTTCAAACTGACTTATTAACTTATTTCAGTTCGGTACCGGAGATAAGTCA